TGCATGGATGTGTGCATGGATGTGTGCATGGCATTTCTGAAAATATCAAAATAATTATAAAGTTTTTACTTTTTTATGTCTTGCGGACCGGTTTGTGCATTGCTGTACTGTCTCATGATAGTCTTGCCCAAGGCCTGGTAATACACAGCCCTAGTAGCCATCCTCAAACCTTCATGATTCCTATTACAGTAAAATCCCGTTATAACGGACTTCAAGGGACCTGGCAAAACAGTCCATTATATCCGAAGTCCGTTACATCCAGAGTTGCTGTTTGCCCAGAACTCAACTACAGGACACCATTTACTCATGCCACACCCCAGCAGACACACTTGTGGTATAGATTATTATATTGTACCTGTAGTAATCCAACTTTACCTGACCAGATGCGCGACTATTAATAATCCCGACTACGTATCTGCGCTGGATATCACCGGCACGCCACGTGCCTTGTAGGCGGAGCCTGCATGTCTGTTATAGCCGAACAGAACGACAGCTAAAAGCGGCCCTGGGGAGCAAATTGTTTTTCCATTATAAGCGAAATTACGTTATATGCCAGTCCGCTCTATCCGTTGCTTTTTCTGCATGTTCTTAAAGGCGCACGACCGGGACCAGCGGACCTCGTCCGTTATAGACGATATTCCGTCATAAGCGAGTCCACTATAACGGGATTTCACTGTAATTTACACGTTAGAAATATACAGTGTTTAATCAGCATTATGGATGTGACAACAAAGGGACCTTTGCATGGAAAATACCCAGCTTCATCTCTCCCATTGTAAGCTTCTGAGCATCTTACTTACTTTTCAGCTTCTCTAACTGCATGAGCGCTTTGTCTGTGTATTTCTGTGCCTTCTCTAGATACCCAGCCTGCATGGAGTGCATCACAGTGACCTGCAAGGCACACACACACACACACACACACACACAAAATCAACACATATAAAGCTCACCTAAGGCAAGCTGTGAATCACCACCTGGCTCACCTGATTAGTGCTGAGGAACTGTAAATTAACAATTACCCCAGAATGTCATGACATTTAATAGCTGCTGATGTACAAAATCCCAAAAAGTTTCCAGTTGATCAAGCTGTCAGTGCAGGGGGTCAGTAATTATCTAATGCGATGGGTCAGGAGATGTACAGTTATGACCAGGACACTTCATATGAGAAACAAAAGCCACTGGTGTGTGTGTGTGTGTGTGTGTGTGTGTGTGTGTGTGTGAGTGTGAGAGAGAGAGAGAGAGAGAGACACCTGCAGCCTATAACGGAGAACAGGCCAGAGCTTACCAGATAGACCAGCACACACATGTGCTCCTTAGGTAGCCAGTGGAAGAGGTCGGCTGGATTGCTAGGGAGAATCTCATCATCATGGAGAGTGGAGATGGTTTGAATACACTGCTGTAGCTGCTTCAGACAGGGCTTGACGCTCTTAACCTGTGAAAGCAAATAACCTAGTCAGATAGGAGTCATGCACCGATCCACCCGCGCACCCGTTCAGCCATCAACTTTCACCCACATCCGTCCATTCTTTTAACTTTACGTCCTAGGTGAAGAGACGTGGTCCCCAGTCGCTCACCTGACCGGCATCCAGGTAGTGTGTGACCTGCAGCACCAGGAAGAAAACCCTCAGGGACTCCTTCTGGATGGGGTTCCCCTGCCAGTTCTCCACGATCTGGCCGCACAGGGTGAGCAGGGGATGCACTTCCTGCAGCTTTCGCTCCATCAGCAGCAGCTGCAGGCGTTGCGAACAGCAACAGCATCGAATCACCACAACTGGGTTGACCAAGCAATCCATGCACATGATGTCCAAACAATGGGGAAAAAAATTGCTATTTTTCCCCACAATGACTGTGACTCAACCAATAAATACTTACTCAAGTCCACTGAAATTACTTACCATTCCTTTACTTAAAAGAAACAGCGCTCTGTACAAGGGAGAAAAAAAAAAGAGGCATTATTTCAAATGAAAAGAACAACAATGAATTTATGATTCATGCAAAGAAATCTGTAAGCAGAAGTGTACTACTGTAGACTGTCCCTGGAAATCAGCGCTGTCCCTGACTATCAGTCTACCACACTTGCCAAAATAAGGAAACAGGACTGCCAGTCAGGCATGTAACCAAAAGGCAGGTTTTAGTTGCAGTTAGGGTTGGGTAGATCATCGATAATACCAATTAATATAATATATTTTCCTCATCAATTTTTGTCCCAACTACATCAATATAACACGAAAAAGTGTGTAAAGAGTTTTCATTGTAAGCTACAACTAATACTATTTTCACCAGATCAAACTGCAATAAAAAACAAAAACACAAAAAAATCTTTTTCTCCTGCAGTCCTGGGATAAAAAGCCACCAAAAACATGACGCATACTGCATGTCCATTGCGCGCACAGCTAAATCCTACCCAAATAAACATGCCTGCGTTTCTCGCTAAAAATGCGTAAACTGGTTACCGTTAAAGTTCCTCTCTCACCTGGCGATAGCAGTTTGCCTATATATTTAATTAATGAGAATGTACTAAAACATACAAACAATTATGATGTTATTGTTATTATTACGATCTGCAGTTTCTGTTGGGTATCGTTTACTTTCGTTATACAATAATAACCACTGCTGGTGCACTGTTTATTTGGGCAATATTTCCTGCTCCTGTTTCAATTGCGGAAAATATCAAGTGAAAAGAGCATCTTAATTGTGTCGAGTAGGTTTTATTTAGATCATGAGTATCAGGAGTTGTAAACCACAATAAGAGGGGCTTTGCATGCTTGACCTGTGTGACAGACTGCCTGGTGTCTCTGCCCTGCGACAAAAATTGACCTTTTACAAAAACAAGTAAATCAAAGTTGGAAATTATACGGGGTACAGCACTGTTCTAAGGGAATTTTAAACAAACGTTACCTTTCTACTGCTTGTAAACGGAAATGCAAAATAGGCTATATAAACATGGTCTCATTCATGATCACGTGTTTCGATATTATCAGTAATTTGGATATTTTTTGCAGCTATAATCAATAATGAAAATACAGATATCAGCCCAACCCTAATTGCAGAACCTTTCTTACCTGTCACATCACATAGAATCATATAATCAATTTTCAGTGCCAAAGGTCAACCCCAGCAGTTTCATTACCTCGCTCTATGGTTTTTCGAAGTTAGACCACCAATAATAACAATAATCCAGAAATGTATAGGTCTTACAAAATTAAGTCCTGAATTAAACTGATGGCCCTTATACTTTTGTCTGACCTTCCGTGCAAATTTATTACATGCATAATTCCTTTTTTATTATGCTTCTGCACCAAACCATTTTTTAAATTCAATTTACTAAACGCATAAACTCATTCACACTGCATGTTGGTGTGTCGAGCAGGCTGAACCCCCAATAAGCATCTCACTGCATTTTAGGCAAATTTTGACCTTTTCTTAGGTGCAAAGACTCATGGAAATCTTTTACTTGGAAAACAGGAGATATACTGATACAGCCGTACCGAAACCATACCCCAAAGAAGGTGGTAGAGCTTCAAGCAGACAAACTGACTGCCAGGGCCTAGAAACTTGTTTTTTTTCTACATACGTTCAGCAAAAATTAAAACAGAAATGTCCAGATGTTTTTTTAAGAGCTAATTTTTATATGATGGATATAACTTGAAAAGAAATATGCATATTATTAACTATGTATGTACATTCTCATATACAATTTATGTTGGACAGACCAGTCACTTAACACTGCACATTCTATTCTAATAACAATTTTATATATTTGTATTTTATAACTAGTTTTATTTTATTTCTTCATTTTAACAGTTTTTTTAGCTACGGTAAATATGTAGCTTTTATATACTCTCTAATGTTCTACTCTTTTTCTATTTCGTAGCATCAGGAGCGAGCAAAATAAGAACTTCACTGTGTAGTGCACATATGACAATAAGTTGCTTAAATCTTGATTACGGAAGAGTACAAGATACGAGTGCAATTCCCTTTTAGTTATAAAAATTGGATTTCCTAAATTTCCTCCAGGATCAATGGAGTCCATCTATCTTAAGTTACAACTTGTGTTAAATAAAGGAGAATGTGAAAGTAGTTAATGATTATCTGCAAACGGTCATACCTGGTGTACTCAGACCCGACCACCCTGGCGTACTCAGCCCCAACCCCTAGCAGGTCACAGGCAGATACCAGGTCCTTCTCCAGTGTGTGCAGTTGCTGACAAACAACACACACAATACCACTTGAAAAGAGTCCAGATTGTCTAGTTATCAAACAGCCAGGAGTATAGTGGTTTAGATTAGGCTTTAAGCCCATTTAAGCAAGCTACTTCTCAAATGGCCAAAATGCTCAAATGTCTAACCTCCAACAGAAAGGTTAAGTTAAGTACTTACAGCCAGTTGAAACAGCAGTCGACAGTGCCAGTATGGAGTCTGCTGGGAAATCTGGATGGCCTTGCGTAGAAGAGGTTTGGCAGAGTCCACGAGATTCTTTGAGTCAGACACCGAGAAACAAAATTTAATACAATAAAAATAAAAATTTTAAACTACACACACTATGTTACTTGAATTAGATGAAAAATCCTTGTAGACTGAAAAAAAAATACAGTATTAGCCACTGAGATTGTGGCATTTAAGATCCCTGTGAAGAAAGACAGCAGAGAAATTGTAGCGTTGTGGATGTGACATTTAGACTCATATTGGCAAACAAAATACCTCAGAGCATGAACAAGCTTAATACAAATGACTCAATTTGCATCTCATTTTATGTAACCTCTTGGGTTGAATATCCTTAAATCCTGAATATTAATATATTAATTTACTTGTTAAAAATACACAGCATTTTATCGGTGTTATGGACGTGACATCACACTTACAGACTTTTATAGAAAACTACAGACATTCTACAAACTCAGAATTTTAAAGAAAATTGATGAAAGCATAGTGTGTCTAACATGACATAGACTTGAATTAACAGAAAAAGTATAGATTGAAAAATATGTTGTTTTGGAAAAAAAAATAAGGAAGAACAAGTGTTATGGATGTGACACTTATGTTATGGATGTGACAAGTCCTATATAAATTCCTGGCTTGCATGTTTTTTTTAATATATGAAACAATTGAAATTGAATGTATGAAAAATCTATCAATGAAATGAGACATTTATACATAAGTAAACATTTTTAAAATAGTTCTCTTCCTGTGCCCTAAACTGTATTTTTCTACGGCAAGTTTGACATTTACATGGAACTGCATCTATTCAGAAACAATTAGCAGGTAGCATAATAAATATCACGCAATACATACCTGTTGGCAATAGAGTTCTGAAAGAAGACTTGCAGCCTCAAATTTAACATCTTCAAACTGAGGGACTTAATGTTGCGGTTAAGGAAATTCACAGCTCATTAATACATTTAAAAAGACATTTAACTGCTTTTGTTCACGCACAAGGTATACCAGCTTTAAGGACGATGTGCAAATATTTAAACAAGTTGTAATCCATAACTGTTATGCAACAAAAATAAAGTACAATCAGAAGTCCCTGGCTAACCGCATAGTTACAATGGAAATGTTGAATGAGAAGGATATTTGCTGAGATATACACCACTGTAAAAAAAAAAAAAAAAGTTGATATTAGTGAAATGAATAAGCTTCATACTGCTGTTAAATGATACTCAACTAACGAGGCAAGTTTCCTGCCCAACTTGTATAATTTCTTACAGCAATGCCTTGCTAACTTATTTCACACCGACCTATCTGCAAATGTCAAACCTAAGGGGCAATGTCAAAATTAAAATGTTATTGAAATAACAGCAACACCTCGCCTAAAGTCAAATTTGATGCGATAATAGTGGGCAGTAAGCAGACAGTTAGTTACCAGAATAATTAATGACAATGGTCTTACAGTTATACGAGTCTTTAACTTACATGCCCAATTCGGGATACAGAGAAATACACAGAACATGATTAACGTGATAAAATAGAGATGCTAGACGTGACACGCCGGGAAAGAGAGTTAAAATACACAAGACAACACTTGACGGTTTATTTGATTAGTTAGTTGCTTGCTCCGGTTACTTGTCAACGACGCGGCCTACACTTTCCCCGTCTAGCCGTCACATCCCCGGCCTTTCCCAGGCGGTACCCTACCGCTTTTTCGAGATGGTTCCGGGCAAGCTCGCTGTTCTTGGTATGGTGATATAGTACGGAACCAAGCTGGAGGTGAGTCCGGGCCTCGACCCGCTGCGGGGGCTTAAACTGAAATACAGCTTGGAGACAGTGGACGCAAAGACGAATTTTGGGCGGACTCGAGGTGCGGAAATGCTCCGCGAAACCGAGCAGAGCTAGGTACCATGACTCCGGGGCCTCACCGCCAGACGCCATTTTGCCGACGACAACAACAACAACAAGCCTTAGCACTTTACTCTATCCCCGCAGGATTTCGGCTAATGCAACGAGAACATAACAAGATAGCCTAGGTGAATGGCTCTTTGGGAGATGTAGTTTAATACTCGTCGCCTAAATATGAACTCAGAACATCACATATCTAGGGGGAAAACGTTGCAGTTAATCGAATATTTGTGTTATATATGATTATTACATTTTTATGAAACATGGTCACTCGACATCTCTACCATATTTAATTTTACTTTGAATAATACTGCACTATTTCAGCTCAATGGTTTTGCCTTTAAACGCCTCAAAACTTTATTTTATTGATGATATTTGTGTCAGACTTTGTTCAGACTGCAGTTGAAGAACGCCGATTTGTATTCTATTTCCTCATACTGGCTAAAGTATGAAAACAAGATGTCAAAGAACACAGATGGGTCTAAATTAAAATGCTCTACATGACAGTTTTACCACAGTGAACACACTTTTACCACAGTGAAACATGTGATAAAACATACACAACCACCACACTGGGACTGAGAACGATTAAGTGATTTAACTATTAGAAAATTAGGCACTAAGTTGGCGGAACTTAGAGTTCAGCTACATAAACCACCCGAGTTGGTTAGGCAGCCGGTACCATTTCGTATTGCCATTCACACACTATTACCGCCACGGCAGATGCGCAAACATAGTTCAGAATGTCATTGTACGCCGTCTGCGTATTGGATTCGGCGTAGCGGGTAGGGATATCGTTTGTTTTCAGTTGACAGTTGCGGGTGGTGGGTAAGTTGCAGTAACTGGTCACACTGGTGCATTGTTAACAGAACTCAGAAATCTGTCTTGGGAAAAACTGACTTTTTCAATTTATTGTTACGTGCTGGATAGCCGATGCTACATTTTACTACGAGGGTCTTCTAACCAGCGTAACATACACACGGATACATCTTTGTGTATTTTGGTAATGTGCTTTCTGATATTTGAGGAATAATAATAATAATATATATTTTTTTATCATCAGTATTAAGACGTATTATTTTACTCGCGTTTGTCGTATTCTGAAGAGCAATGGTATGTAATCGATCACTGTTTTGTGGTTGGGTTGGGGCAGGGACGTTTGAGATGGAAAATCGCAGGATCACCCAGGAGACCTTCGATGCCGTGGTCAGGGAAAACATTGAGGAATTTGAAATGGATCCGGACGAAGCACTGAATGAGGCCATTCAGCAGTTCGAGTCTCAAGGTGATTATTTAAAACCAGAATGGAATTTGTTACCTATAATAATGATGCAGGATGATTCTTGGTACAAGATATGAAATTAACGTTTGTTTTCAGGCGTGGATCTCAGCAATATTGTAAAAGCAATGCCGACTGCAGTATTAGACCAGGATAAGGAGGATCAAACACACGATATTCTTAAGGTAGGAACACATAGTGACATTTGACATTCTCTATACAAGAGCGTTTTCAACAGAATTTATTCAGCTAAAATTAAAGGTGTTAAAGATATTAATATACTCTATTGTCACCCACATACTTTGTTTTACTTTTGTCTTAATAGGCTCTAGAGTCCCTTCAAATTGAAGCCAGCACATCTGGATCTGAAAATGTGCGTTGTAATTTGACGCTCTTTGCCGATCAGTGCAAACTGGGATTTGCCCAACGTCATCTGGCTGCCCAGAAAGGAGCGTACCCCACAATCCTAGCATGCTGCAAGAAGGCCGAGAAGGACCGAGATGCACTGTTATCCGCCCTCTCGGCTCTCTCTGTGCTGATGGATGGACAGCCTGACCTCCTGAATGCTGAGGGGCAGGACTTTCTGATGGGCTTGCTGAGGCGCTGTCACGCGGACCCAGCGGTGATGGGGCTGGCTGTGCGCACGGTACGGCACTGCTGTCTGAAGCACGAGCAGAACCGGCAGGATCTAGTGAAGGCTGGAGTTTTACGGTCACTTACAGGTGCCATGGCAGAGCATAGCAGCCATTCCGAGCTGGTGAAGGAGGCCTCTGCTGCCTTGAGGGTCATGACCTTTGATGATGATGTCAGGGTGCCTTTTGGCCACGCCCACGAACATGCTAAAATGATAGTTGTGGAACATAATGGACTGAAAATCATTATAGAAGCAGCCAAAGGTAAGACAGTGATTATGTAAGGGATAAACCATGACGGGCTGTGTGATTATTTGAAAATTATCGACAACAACTTCATGTAATACACCCTCTATGACACCTCAAAGTGATTTATTCCGTTTAAACCACGGCTAACGAACAAAAAAAAAAAAATAGGATGAACTAGTCACATTTTCTGAAGAGAATTATGTTAATTAGCATTTAATGATGTTTTCTTTTGTAGTTTTAAAAATATAGGCCCTGTAAAGATAGAACACCTGGTCAGGCTACTCACTGCAAGCTGCACGTGAAACCGCCAACAGACTGGCGCCTGGGTTCAAAATGCCGATAAGAATGACTGCTGATTTGTTTGTAAAAAGTCAGACAGGTTTTTGTATTAACATGTTCAGTAAAACATTAGGACGCATTAATAAATCACTGTTATTAGGCTGTGGGAATGACCTGTGCCGTTATGCAAAAATAATCAACATCCACATGACATGTGCGGACGAATAAGAGAATAGAATTTACCGAAACCGTGGTATATGTTGTCACTTAGGCTAGGGTATAGGGTTATGGTCTGGAGGGGTTATTTACTGGGATAAATGTCCTGTTACTGATGCATTTTGTTGTATTTTGTTGGTATTGTTTCCCAGCTCACCCTCAAAACACCGCCGTCCTTAGTGAACTCTGTGCCACGCTGTCCCGGCTGGCTGTCAGGAATGAGTTTTGCCAAGACATTGTTAACCTGGGGGGGCTGGAATTTATGCTCACGCTATTGGCAGAGAGTCTGGATCACCAGGTGAGTCGAGGATAGACTGAAAGTGCCTCCATAGAGAATCAGAAGGCCCAGAATTCTGTGCTGCTTTTGCATGTGCTCGACCGGCTTCTGTGCTCTGCTGCTGGGTGACACAGAGATAAATACATTCCAGTGACACGTGCATTTTATTGTGCTACATTTGCAGTCACTTCATCCTTTAACTTTCAGATAAATAAAGGAGACATTGAGAATAAAGCCAAAGGGATGGTATAAGTCACATTGTTATTATGTGGGATGTGTCTGATAATGGATGCATTAACTTAGCTTTTAAACCATTTTCTCAGGATTTGGTGAAACAAGTCTTTAGTGCTCTTCGGGCCGTAGCTGGAAACGACGACGTGAAAGATGCCATTGTGAACGGCGGGGGAGCTCAGCTCATAGTCCTAGCCATGAACAGACACATGTCATGCCCACAGGTTTGATATCCCTCGACGGCCGCTGTTATTGGCAGTTTATTTCCCGCGGCTTTTCTCGGCCTTTCTGATTGGCCGCTCACCTGCAGGTCTGCGAGCAGGGCTCCGCAGCGTTGTGTGTCCTTGCTCTGCGCAAGCCGAACAACTGCAAGGCGATCATGGACTGTGGCGGCGCCCTGGCTGGCCTGCAGGCCATGAAGACTCACCCAGAGGAGGCGAACATGCAGGCGAGTGTCACAGCAGGGGTGGGGGGTGTTTGTCAGCATAATTTTCTTCAATTAAATTTTATGCATTTAACTATGTTTCCTCCCACAGTCCAAACACATGCAGTTATGAGATGTATTTAAATTCACCTTGTATGTGTGTGTGTCTCTGTATGTGTGCACCTTATTGTGTATTGGCATCCCATCCAGGTTGTCTCCTTCCTTGTGCTAGCTTTTTGTTGTTGTTGTTGTTGTTGTTGTTAATCTGTCACTTGGTTTAATGTCTGGGATTTGAGCGTGATGTATGTTTTCCTCATAGGATGGTTGTGGTTTCAAATCCCCCCTCTGCTGTGTGTGTGTGTGTGTGTGTGTGTGGTTATGTATATATTATATTGCATATGTCCCCACAACGTGATTTAAAAACCTGTTCTTTTGATGTTGAGGGGACATTCTTTCAGTCCCCACAAGGGAAACTAAAATTAAAAAAAATCTGTGGCTGCAATCAAAAAACTAAAAATGTGTGTGGAGTTTGCATGTTCTCCTCATGTCATGTGGGCTTCCACCAGCTCCTCCAGTTTCTTTTGCAGGCCAAAAAGATGCAGTTTGGCTTGCTAATGTCTGTAAATTGGCTATAGTGTAGTATAGTGTTTATTATAGTACTGAAAATGCAGTATGATGGGTGGGAAATGTCCAGGGTGTAGCCTGGCTATTTGCTGCGTGGAATTTTAAAACAATTATACTTTTGAGCAGCTGAGTTCCTACTGATCAGTGTCTTAATAACGCAGACTGACGTGTTTCCCCTAACTACCTCCTGCAGAAACAGTGCTGCATGTTGCTGAGGAACTTGGTGTGTCGCACGCAGAGCTTCAGCCAGCCCATCCTGGAGATGGGGGCAGAGGAGCTGGTGGCCCGGGCACTAGCCTCACACCGCGACTGCGGCGACGTAGCGCGGGCCGCCTTGCGTGACCTCGGCTGCAAGGTGGAGCTGCGGGAGCTTTGGACGGGGAAAAAGGGCAGCCTGACAAACTGAGGGCCCGGGGCCCCAATTCCACACAGACGCACACATACACACTAACTCTTACAACAAGACTAGTCCTCTTGTCATTGTTGTGTGTGTGTGTGTGTGTGTGTGTGGGTCTTTTTTATGTCGGCGTGAGTAGTCTTTGTGTAGCCTTGTGAATTTGTGAGTAAACTGTGGCATTTCCCCAATTTGTGTTTATCTAGCCCTCTGGTTTTTCATTGCAATGAAGTGCTCCTTATTGCAAACCAGGAATGTCCGTTGTATAACTCAAGGATTGAAGGTAATTTATAACAGGTGTTTCTCAACTGTGTCCTTGGGGACCCACAGATGGTCCACGTTTTTGCTCCAGGGGCTGGGAGGGAGCAAAAATATGGACTGTCTGGAGGTCCCCCAAGGACCACACTGAGAAACACCAATGCAGGCTGTTTTTAAATACCGTATCTCTGAAAGGAATTGCTTTTTGATCAGAAATGTCCAGCAGAATCCACCATGGTGTTGACCACTGGAATCTCTTCTTCTGTTCGTCGTTATGGACCATTGCCGGCTCATGGCGGTGTGACCTTTCAGCTCAGTTTAGTCATCTTTTGCTGTGTGAAACTGTGCCGTGTTATTTGTAATGGCCGAATGTCCATCCACCTTTTATATTTTGAAATAAACATTCCATCTCCTGTGTCTGCCTGTGACTGACTGGTGGTGTAGGTGTACTTACAACACCGTCTGAATTGATGTCATAATGTTCTTGGGAAACTTACACTGAAGTGTGTAAAACAACCATTATGTAGAAATTACATCCGAGTATATTTTCCTTGAATTAATCAAACTTTATAGAAAACTGTTCTTTGTTTACCTGATACTGATGCGACATCATGGAATTTTAAGGAAGTTCTAGAACTTTCAGCAGAAATACACGTAGGCAATTTGAAAAAAAAAAAAAAAAAAAAACAACTTTATTTTAGACACTATTTAAAGCATTGTTTGTTGTCATTTTAGCTAAATTGCCTTTCCAACCAAGCAGTACTTGGCTATATTTTAATCTATTTCCACATCACGCCCCTCAAAATAGCCTATCGTTGCGTGCGGCGCTCAGTTACTTCGTTTCCCATGATCCTCCTTGAGTTCTATACCCCTCCCTTCTGAAAGCTAGTTGATCGCGTCACAGCAAGGGTGAAGGAGCGTGTGGGGCTTCAGGTATTTTCTTCTTCAAACTCGTGGGATTGTCGACCTGTGGAAGGGAGGAAGACAGGCTACAGGAAAGTGTGAGCCGGATGCATGGTGATTTTCACATCGCTTGCATGTAGAGCTGGGCTAACATTGACGTACTGGAATGGTGGCCGTTCGTAGCTGGATTGTGTACAGGATAGACAACAGTTAGCCAAACTCAAGGAGGAGGGGTCATCGAAGAATTGGCTGTCAGAGGGTCGACAGAAGTTTTCCACGAAGAAGATATAAACCCTGCGATCATTCGTTGGCTTTACGGAATATCGGTAAGCAATACGTAATAATCGAACTCCTGGCACGCGCTTAGATTCTAAATGCCTCTGCGCTATATTTCGATTGCTTGTGCACGTCAGAGTGGACGTGCAACTAACTTTTTGAGATTAGCTACGGGTGACAGCACTGAGTTTGCAGCTGAATCCCTGCGAAAAGGTGTCAGTTTATGCTAGTAACCTGACATCGATCGGTTGATCTACAGCATTCAAGGAAACTGAAGTTTGCTTCTGGTAAGAAGGTCAGGTTGTGTCACGAGGTGAAACCGTGTTGTGGATACGGGTTTGAATTGAACCGTTTTCCGTTTCTTCTGTCTTAATGCAGGCAGGGAACCATAGTTGTGGCTAAGTATGTAGAAAAGAAGGAGGATTCTTTTCAATTAGCCTGCACTTTAATTGAAAACAATTAAATTTGTGGAACTACCACTTCTGACACCCGATTGTATTGTATTGTAAGTATTTGAAAAGGCTACATTGGTTATGCATCTTAACACATTAAAACATATTAATTGTGACGGAAAGGAATACAGGAAATCGCAATTGCTTAAAGGAATTGCATGTCCCACCTCCCTCCTGGGCATGCAGTGTTCATTTGCGCAATTATGATTTTTTTATTACGTCACAATTAAAATATCTGCTACCTAAACGTTCGTTTTTGACATAGTTGCATTCCGGCTCTTATTTTTCATACAAGCTACACTTTAGGGCAATTTGGTTTTATTGCATGCTTTTGCAGCAGCTTATCCGAATTCTTTTAAGTTTAATTTTTGCCCCTCTATCGCCACCACAAAACATTATTCCCCTAACATTTTGAATAATAGGTGCAAAAATTACTTAAAGGGTGAATGATTTGTTGAGTACTTCTTAGACATATAAACCGTTTAAACCATTGCTCTTTTATGGTTCGTTATTCACTTTGTTTAAGCTCATTCACACAGTTGTCTGTCAGGTTAAATATCCATCCATTTTCTGTAACCGCTTGTCTTATTCAGGGTCGCGGGGGGTTAAATATTTCCAAATAAAAATTAAATTTCCCTTCAAAAGGCCATAAAGTTTCCCCTCTTTTTAATGAAATGGCAGCGAATGGAACTTGTTGTTTGGAAGCCAAAACCATTTTTAGGATTACTTGGCTTACAAAGATAGTCTTGCAACTGACTGGTTCTATATGTTTTTGCTGCAGTTATTATTGCACTTAAAAGCCCAACAGCAGAGCCACTCCCTTCAAACACAAGTGCCTTAAGTACTATACCCCCTGCTGGCCCCAGGGGGGAGTGCAGTTAAGGGAGTGATGAAACTAATGATGGCGTTGGGGGAAGAGCAATATTGATCACTCCTGTTAGGTGTCACTGGGTTAATATGTATAATCGATATAGCTTTTCCAGAGATGGAAAGTTCAGGTCCAAAAAGTACAAATCCAATCCAGTATTTTGTTTCGGCCAACCAGTTGAGCACTCTGTGAATGTGACTCTTTATACTCAACTGGTTGGATGAATGAAAATCCCGGTCTGGATTTGTACTTTCAGAACCAGAACTTTACACTTCTGGCCTTTTCGAATATTTAAGCGATTCGGTGTCAGAAGTGGTATTTACACAGTTTTTATTGTATTTATTGTATCAGAAGATAGAGTGTAGCTTCTTCATCGACTGGGTTAGGCTTGTCATAGTGTATCCAGAGAGTTGACATCAGAAGTCCACCAGGGTTACAGAATTGGGTTTACAGTGCAGACTGTAATGTGTGAGTAGAGGGTTCAGGTGTGGACAGTCTATAACGGAGACGTTTTCCCGAGGAGTCCACAAAGTGGCAAATCACGCAAACTCAACATTCACCAAAGGTAGTTCTTGACTTAATTCGTTCAAAATTATCACTCGTTAATGGAGAACTTTTAAAGCGGGAGGTATTTTTCCATAGAGATATTATAAAAATTATGACTTTGGTGCTAGGCAAAAAAAAAACCGTCATTAATTTTTGCCAAATGAACAAAGGAAACACAGACGTATTATTAGGATTAACATTTAAGCAATTACGCACATTTAAACAAAAAAAAAATCCTTGGCAAAAAACAAAAGAAGAATTCTAAAATTGGAATGTTCACAGGCAATTTTGGTCACTTTGATTTTCAGCAGATGGGGTGTATTAACGGGATCAGCATGCATTAAGCTACTTGCAATTATTATTTTTTTTTATTAAGAAAAACTAAATTTTAATTTTTGCCGGTGAAAATTCTCGTAAAGATATTAACTCATAAATCGGAAGTTTGGAAAGTGAGCACTGCCTGTATAATTGAGCAGGGTTAACCGTTTATCTGTCTTCCAATCGCTTATACAGTACAGGCTTGCCTGGAGTAGACTAAACGACTAAACTAATTTGAAAATGAATGGCTTCCAAAGATGAGCTAACCATCTTCTAGTGTTCCTATTGGAGCCACTGGCAGGATGTGTAACACCACACCATTGTGATGGCCTGTCAAATCAGCCCACCGCATGTGCTTAATCTTTCTCATCACCTAATGCCCCTTAAGAGCGTTGTCCTTTCATTGGGAACAAGTCATACTGATGTTCTCGCGTTTAGCCGCCAGTAAAGCAATCGCTAAAATTAGTCTCGTCAGAAGTCAAGATGGGACAAAGCACAAGCCATTGTAACCTGACCCATACGGTTGGGCTGAGTGAGGTGGAGATGGAGTGTGGGTCAA